ACTCTTTCAAGAGAGGGATGCAAATGAAGGCATTCGAAATTACAAATGAAGCTGGGATTTAAATATCCTGCACTTCATTTGCATATTCGTGTTATGGCGTTATTTCAAAATAGTGCTATTTCGAAATAACAGACGCTGTTAAGACGCAGTTATTTCGAGAGAAAACCCTTCTCTCAAAATAACCCTTATTCCTCATACAATGAGGTTTACCAGTTATTTCGAGAGAAGGGTTTTCTCCCGAAATAACCGCATCTGCACCGTATCTGTTATTTCAAAATAGCGCCACAATGCGAATATTTAAATCCTGGCTTCATTTGCAATTTTGAATGTCTTCATTTGCATCCCACTCTCGAAAGAGGGTGCAAGTGTAGACATACCCTTACTGACTTTCAGTGGGAATTGGTGCCTTCTTCCCTTAAGTGCTTTGGAAAATCTCTCCTGTATGGGTGTGTCTAGATTACAGGGTTTTTTCAAAAAAAGTAGCCTTTTTTCAAAAAACTTCTCCTGCATCTAGACTGCTGCCGCATTCTTTCGAAAGTAAATCAAAAGAACGCGGCAGTTTTTTCGACCGCGGAAAACCTAGTTTTACGAGGAATAACGCCTTTTTTTGAAAGAGAAAAAAGCACTGCCTGGGTGCTCTCTTTCGAAAAAGTGGCTTGCTTTTTCTAAAGTACTGGTTGTAGTCTAGATGCTCTTTTTCGAAAGAGGCTTGCAGTCTAGACGTAGTCTATGTGTGCTGAATACCACAGTAATGGAAGCGCGGCTGCTCTGTAACAAATTATGAATTCTGCATGTTTGTTGTGAATAGTTTTAGTATTCTGTGATTTTTTTTCACTATACACAGAGAATTACAGCATAAACTCGGTCTACTCAGCTAGATGTTTATTGTCACAAAAACTCAAAACTCGTGTCCTCTTCTAGGTTTCACTGATTCCAGTTTCCTAACGTTGCTGAGGAAGATGCCAGACATTGAACAGCTCTATGGTCTTCACCCCAGGTATCTTGAAAGGCGCAGAGTCCGTGGCCATGAAGCTTTCAGTATTCCTGGAGTGCTAGAGGCCTTGCAGACATGCCCAAATCTGCTGGTAAGGGTTCAGGTCAAATGATTAATGTCTTTCATCAGTTGATGATATGATCTTTGATAAGACTGCAGAGGAAATAGATGGTTGGGATAAAAATTTCAATTTATGTTGTAACACCTTGCTAGGATACTGTTGTGTTGTGCATCTTTACCTTGCACGGATGGCAGCAGAAGTAAACCTTTACAAAATCTGTTACTAGTTTACAAATGAGTGTTGTTCTTTTGTAGTCACTTCATACGGGGTTACAGGTGTTCAGCAATTCTCAAGATCAGACAGTCGTTTCCTATGACTTCTTCAGCTTTTAAGGCAAATGGTTCTGCAAAGAATTAATGCGTTGCATCAAGCTGTGTGCGTTCCAGAGAAGTTTTCTTGTTTAAGAAAAATATTGTTGCTTAAGTTGATAATTGGAGCCTTGCCTTTACTTATTGTTGTACTTTTATCCAGGGTGTAGAAACCTCTCATTTGGAGTTGGTGGAAGCCATTTGGACGTATATGCCACAAGTTCATATTTTAGGGAAGTTTCGTAATCGTAATGGTGCTTTCCCAATCCCGCCTGAAAATAAACTGAAAATTCCAATAGGAGCAAAAATTCAGACATTGCACTTAGTAGGTAAGAGCTTATTGGTGAAGTAGTTATCTTAGATACAAGTGAATTTAAAGGGTTTAGAATGTTGCATAATAAGCATTCTTTTCAAGAAATATAATTTTTCCAGTGTGTAGTGTTTCTGTTCACTATAGGAAAGCAGAGATCCAGAGCACTGGTGTGACTGTGACAGGTAGTGAATTCCTAGGTCAAAGGTCCATAGTTTTTGAAGTGATCCATTGGCTTTTGCAGAGCCATCTGTACAGATGGGTGCTAGTGTCCTATCAAATCCAAAATCATTTACTATGAGAGACGTGTTGTTAGAGACTAAAAATAATGGCCTGATTAGAGAAACTGGATTAATGGAGTATTACAACAATCTCTAACCCATTTACAATTCTTGCCCTCCTGCTTCTCTTCTACCTCCTAGCCCCCCATGACTGAAGCAATGTTAACAAACCACTTCACCTTGAATGATTCCTTGAAATATGTATTAGCCACTTATGTTAACTAATCTATTCCATCTTTAATTTAGGTATGACACTTGAATTTAGCTGTGAGGCCTTGTCTGTATAGGTTGAACCTCCCTGGTCCAGCACCCTTGGGACCTGACCGCTCCCAAACCAGGGAATAAGCTAGACCAGGGAAGGTCAGTGCCAGTCCCTCTGCTGCTGCTTGTGGGGCTACACTCTAGCAGTAGCAGTGGGGTCGGCATTGACGGAATGGGAAGTGGGTGGGGAGGCGCACTGTGGGAAAGGTGGGGGTGGCTAAGAAACTGGCTCCTGGCTGCTTTCCTGAGTGCCACCCCTGTCCCTTCCCTCTTCCTCCTGCTCCCTTCCTGAGTTTGAACACCACAACTGAGCTATTTACAGCACTCCGGAAACTTTGGGAGGGTTGGGGAAGAGTTGCTGAGCGCACTTTTCCCCATGAGTGTTCCAACCCTGGAGCACCCATGAATGCCAGATCGTGGATGTTGCAGGAAATTCTGCATTATAGAGGTCCAACCAGTATTTAAAAGGCTGTAGCAGTGTTACTATAACACTTCAGTGAAGATGCTACTCCTGCTGCTAGTAGGGTTTCTGCCTTGATATAGGTAATTCGCTTTCCTGAGAGGCAGTAATTACATCAGCTGAAGAAGCCATCTCATCAACAAAGCACCCGTGTATGTGGCGAGTTAGGTCAATAAAACCTCATCACCTAGGGATTAGGGATGTCATTGTGTAGACGACTACATGATTAACCGATAAGTCTTGTCAACTACACACATCCCCCACCCCTCTGCCTCTGTATCAGAGGCAACAAGGGGGGGGAATGGGAGCTGACTTAAAAGCCGGCTCCCCAGAAGCACTCCCTGATAAGCAGCAGCATGGAGGGTGAGGTAGCTAGACTGGAGCCAATATGTGTGGGGAGCTGGCTTTCAAGCAGGCTCCCTTTGTGTGCCAGCTCCGTGGACCCGCCTGCCCCCCACTTGCTGCCTCCCCCCGA